AAAAGTCAAAAATAATAAAAAACAAATGATTAAATTAAAAAATTATTAAAAAAATAAGAAAATAATTATAAAAAATAAACAATAATAGGATACACAATTATAAAAAAGTAAATAAGATTTAAAAAAATTAAATAAATAAAAGTAAAAAAAATAAGAAGAAATCATTAAAGAAAAAATTAAAATTTATAAAAAAGTAAGACAATAAAATAAAGAAACAGTGGGGGTTCTATCCTGAGCAGGTCATTTTTGGATATATTTCTTGATGATGATTCCATACTCAGCTGATCTCACTGGCTGTTTAAGATAAAATATTTTCTCTTCCAGTTTTAGATGGTGGCCTTTTTTGTTTTTGTGACTGAACTAACGGTAAACAGTTTATTACTGATTATCCCATCACCATTAAACAATGCATACATTAATATCACGTCCCCTCTCAGTCTCCTCTTTTCCAGAGTGAACAAGGTTTAATGCATGCAGTCTTTCCTCATATTTTAGGTTCTCCAACCCCTTTGTTAGTTTTGTTGCCCTTCTCTGGGCTCTCTCCAGCTCAAGAACATCCTTTCTGTGGATTTGTGACCAAAACTGAACAGCATACTCAGGATGTGGCTGGACCAGTGTTTTATACAGGAGCAGAATTATGGATTTGTCTTTACAGTACATTCCCTTTTTTATACACGATAGAACCCTGCTCGCCTTATTTGCTGCTGCCTGGCATTGCATGTTGTTACTAAGGTCAATGTCCACTAGGACTCCCAGATCTTTTCCACCTCTGATTCCCCCAGTGGCACATCAGTTAATGAGTAGCTTGCTCTCGTATTTTTAACTCCAAAATACATAACTGTACACTTCTCAATAATAACCACTTCCAGCAGGTTCACGTAAATGTACATCGATATGACAGGTTGCATGATGTTGGAGATGTTAGTTCAGGGCTGCTTGCTGCTGTTTACCTGGGGTTCGTGTTTGACATAGTGCGGAACAGGTGGATAGATTTCCGGGTAACCACTGGAAATGGTTATACCAAGAACACGGCTGCTGCTGCTGCATGTATAGGCGCTTGATCGCTTGTACGGTGCTGCGGCGTGTCAACCCCACCGCCGTCTGCTTCCTGGGCTCCACAGTCCCCCGCGTGAGCCTGGAACCGGCACGGCGGGTCTCCCCTGATGGATCAGAGGAGAGGTTAGCAGCTTCCAGCTGTTGATCTCTCCTCCGATCACTGGACCCAGAAGTGATGTGCATTACATCACTTCCGGTGTCACTGGGCACATTCTCCGGCTCCTAGAGCCAGAAGAAGAAGCTGGTGAAGCAGATCTCAGCTTCATCAGCTTCTTCGGGGTCCCTAGGTGACATTAAAGGTCTGAAAGACCCCTGATGTCTCCATGAAGAGGACCAGTCACATTATATTTGCTATTACATAGGGGGCTTGTTATCCCCCTATGCGATGGCAATAAAGCTGAGTGTAAAACATTTTTTTTCAATTAAAGTAAGTTAAAAAAATTAAAAATGCAAAAAAATTATTTTTTAAAGGCCCCCTCCCCTCATGTGCACGCACACACAATGCAAACACGCATTGGATGCGCCTACTAGCCCTACCCGGAAATCTGTCTGCCTGTTCCGCACCATGTCATTCACAAACCCCAGGTAAACAGCAGTAAGCAGCCCTGAACTAACATCCCCAATATCATGCAACCTGTCATATCAATTCCTCTGTAATGCTCTCTAATGCTCTTCCCTCTACAGTGTCTCCTTATGGTAACCCAGCTGCTTACCTCTGGATCCTGCACCTGCGTATCCCCACCCTCCTCTATGCTGGCCTCCGCCAGAACCTGATGAGTCAGATCCAAGCTCCTCTCCATGTTACTAATGATCTGCAGTGTTGCCAGTCAATTTTTTAGATCCAGAATCTGGGCTTCCAAAGAACCAACTAGCTCACTACTTGAATAACAGAATTCCCCCTCGATTGTTCAAGAAGCACATACATTAAGCATGATGTGCACTGGGTCACATTGCAAGGGTTAAGTGCTCATTTTTGTCTAGGGACTGAAGTAAAGCCATTTTACTTACCTCATCCCCGCTCCCTCACCGGTCAGTGCCATTCTCTTCTCCATCTGTGCGCCAACTGGTTAGATGTCCTGATGACACCAGCAGTCCTTAGACCACTGGAGCCTAGGTGAGGAGGGGCTGCCGGGACTAGTCTAGCAGCCTGGCGTGAGCTGACAGAGTAGGAATCGGGTAAATAACTTTTTTTTCTCTTTTTGGTGTATTTTGTTTGTTTTTTTAACATATTATATAAGTGTGTGTGTGTGAGAGATCATAATCCATCCACTACCCCCCTTCTTTCTGCCTTAATGTCTATCTGTTTTATGTACAGGTTCCCAGCTCCTTCTTTGACCGCTGCTGCAAAACATAAAGAAACTGAGTGCGCCCTGATATATGTTCCATTAACAGCAAATGTATTGTATCAGAGGAGTTTCTTTATGTGTTTTTGTTGTCCACTATATGAAAACATTCCAATACAAACATGAATTAAAAACATAAAGTATAATGTACATCTTCTGCCAAGAGATTTGTCTTTATTTCTTTTTGTCCTATAGTTATTACTCTGTACAGAAGAGGGAGAAAAATTGATTTGTCACATTATAAAGTCCTAATAATGATGGTGTCGTTGTGTCTAGGTGTGTGGAGAGATGGTCGGATATCTGCTGTCATTTCTTTCACAACAACTGACAAGATGAAGAGGTTCCGCAAAATATTCAGCGACCAGAAAAGTTCTATCCACCGGGCCGAAGCCGCCACTCCTGGTAATTCTCAATCATCAACTGTTTGTTCATATATATGATCATTTACAGGCAAATATAACTAAGCATATAAAGCAACTAATAATGCTTGGATGATTACGGCCCCATTCACATCTAAGTGTATTCAGGAGATTTAGAGGAATTTTTAAATTTGAAAGATTTGGATAATTTGAATGATTAACTCAGCTGACCCAGAGCAAAGGCTGTGCACAGCAATACAGGTTATTTCTTATACCTGAGGTAAACATGCAAACTTTTCAGCCCAAAGTTCATGACTGGGACCCATGGTAGCAACAAACTCACAAACCCATCCCTACTGCCCAATGGTATTGTCTGGGCAAATACTTTATAAATATACCACTTATTTACCACACAGAGCATGAAATTGGGGTGCTGAATTCCATTCTTCAATACAATGATACGTTTGTAAACCTTTATTCATTGTAATACAGAAAGTACTGTTTATAAGTGGAAAATAATCTAAATTTGCACTCCAGCCAAAACATTTTTAAGTGCTAAAGAGTGAGGAAAGGGTCAGATCCTCCGGCAGTTATTTATTACTCTGTGTCTCATAAGAGAGATTTCCCATCACTTCCATTCTCCATGACCCCCAGTCACCTGGACAAGGGATGAAAGAAAATGAAGCCCACATGACACATACAGCCATAAAAACCTGATGGAGGTTTTAATTACTTTCAACTTTCAAGATTACTGTTTTTGCCCTGAATTCCTGTGTCAGCGGGGTAAGAACAGAGGGAAAATCTCACCAAAAGGGACACAAGTTTTTGTAACACACATTTATTTGTTTTCCAGCACAAATAAAATAGAATATTAAGAAACAATGTTTGATTAGAAAGTTGTAGTGGATCTGGTGGCATTGGAGTTGGTTTGGAGAGGTCATAATGCTAGTTAATCACTTTTGAAACCTTTTTAGGTGTCGCAATAGACTTCTCACAAAGACTGGCTGGCCTCCAAAGGAGGAATCTCATGTATTTGAATAGGCTGAAATTTAGGAGCTCCCAGCCAAGATGTCCAAAGTCAAAACATTACAATTTTGGCCTTTAATTACATAGTAGGTGAGGTTGAATAAAGAAACGGGTCCATCCAGTTCAACCTATGTGTGTTTATACATCTTACTAACAACTCCCATATCCCGGTATATTCTGTAAACTGAGAAACTCATCTAAGTATTGTTTGAAGTTATCAATGCTTTCAGCTGATACAAGTAACTCTGGAAGGGAATTCCACATTTTTACTGCTCCGGCAGTGAAAAATCCATCACGCAGTCTGAGATTAAACAGCATCTTGTCCAACGTCTTGTTGTGTCCTCATGACATCTTCATGACTAAATGTAGTGTGGGGAAGCCGCTTGTTCGTTTACAAGTGATCGCCGCGATCACTTGTAAAATGTGTGCAGCCTGTCCGTCCTCCCCCCCACCCCCCCTGCACCTACCTCTCTCCTCACTGGCCGCCGATGCAGGGAGCAGAGCGGCAGGGTTAAAACTAACTAATAAGATGTTTATCATTACTCTTTGAATCCATGCTAGCTTGTGAGTGTGCCAGGAAAACTTTTTTCTGTTTTACTGTTTAAAGCCCATTCCGTGTGCACCTTGCTATATAGCTGGTGACGAATTGAGACGTGCGTTTGTCATCTGTTTTGCTTGACGTCGGGTAAATAGACACCAAACATGTCAAGCTTTAAAATTGCGCGCACCCGTGAAATTTGCCATAGGCAACGCTGTAAAAGCTTTTACTGCTCATCAGTTTAGTGTCATCAGTGATTGATGGCCCTAAAATGATTGCTCTCACTGCGACGTTCGCGGTGATATGTAACATGTGCGGCGTAATAAGCGCAATCGCCGTTTCCCCACGTATGCGCACCCGACTCATGTTTGCATGCGTGTATGTATGGGTGGGGACTTTAAAAAAAAATTGTTTTTTTTATTCTTTTTTCATGTGTAACCTAAAAAAAATTTGGGGGGTAACTTTAATTTTGTTTTCCTATATTTTTTTTCCCACTAAACTTTATTGCTATCGCATACGGGGGCTAATAAATCCCCACTATGTGATAGCAAAATATGTGACAGGTCCTCTTTATGGAGACAGTGGTCTCCAAGACCCCTAATGTCACCTAGGAGCCCCCAAAAGAAGCTGATGAAGCACAGATCTGCTCCATCAGCTTTTTTCCAGCATCTGCAGCTGGAGAGTGGCACAAGAACATGGAAGTGATGAAATATACAACACTTCCGCATTCTTGCAGATGAGAGGGGACCGTAGGGAGATCATGTACCGATCTCCCTCTGAACCCCTGTGACAGAGGCACCATGCTGGTCCCGGGCTTGCACCGGGTACAGTGGAGCCCGGGACTAGCGGGACAACGGCGTGGGAGGAGGGGGGATGACACACCGATCGTTACCCCATACAAGCGATCTGCCGTCTCTACAGGCCGGTGGATCCAGCGGTGTATTTACAAATGCTGCTGCCCTAGGCAAAACAGCAACTAAGCCCCCCCCCTCCACTGACGGCCGATCGTCACCAGCAGATTTTGCTACATACACTACTTTAATGCATTTGTCATGCATTCAGGGGAAATCAATGGGGATGAATGGCAAATGCAGAAAGCAAATGTGCACAAACTCACATGAAAATGTGCACATTCACACTTCAATAGGGACTAAGTGGGAAAAGTATAAAACAACATGTTCTCCGCATGTTATCACGAGAGGTGCTTTATAGAAGGAGTATAGCACCTCACATACTTACATTTCTCACACGCTAACAATGAATCAGATTTGTTTGTTTCTGTGTAACAAAAATAAAGCCATGGATGGACCCAGGGGTGCTGATATAACAGTAAATTAGATTGCTGGTATTAAATCTTGCATCTTCTTACTGTTTTATTTGCTTAACAACAGCCAGTGTACATGAGGAGCATTTTCCAAAACAAAGTAAACTGGAGTTCCCTAAATACCGTCCGCTTGTGAGCGGGTGCTTGTATTTGGTGTCTGAGTGGACTAAAATATATTGTCTGAAACAAAGCCTCAGTATAACAAAGAATGTAAAAAACAGGAAATTGTATGTCCAAATGTTATCCTCAGACCTGTAGATGTATTTCTGTGTTTCTCTAGAGGACATCAGGAGGTTCCGCCATCAGCTGTCTGCGTATTCCGATTCATCACTGAGGAGGATACACGAGTATTACAGAGATGACCTGACCTACATCCTGGAGAACTTGGACCCTCATTCTGTCCTCATAGAACTCAACTCTCGGAATGTGTTAAAGACAGATGTAAGAAAAAGATTATTTTTTTCTAAATGCACTGCAAACTTTCTATAATTTTAGTCCAGTGCCAAGTTAAACTAATGTGAATGTGGGCTCACTCTATCTATATCATTGTTACTGATTCTCTGATCTAAGTGATTTTTGGGACATAAAACCTTGGGCCTCACTCTTCATTTACCTAGGTTTTGAGTCAATACATCCATGGGGAAGTTTGTGACTTCTGGTTCTGGAAGTCAGTCAGACTGGGACTTTTAAAACATAAGATGCTTATCCCCACTCTGTAGAGAAAGCTAAACCCTGGGTCACTCTATAAACGTCTGACTATGCAACATGTATGCATTTGCACATAATCAACCCAAAACTGGACATTTTGTAGGATTTCGTGTGCTAAACACCACACACCATGTTGAAAATTATCTTGTTATTTCAAAATTGGGCTCTTGAGCTATTGAGCTCTGTGACCAAAAGGGTTTTTAAAAGTAGCTAAAAATTGCCTGGTACAAATTTGAAAGGAAGCCTAGAGCTTAACCTGCTTGCAGGAAATGAAAATACAACATATAGATACTTAAGATGAGATCCGGGTCAAATCCTGAATGCAGTAACCAGTTTGCCCAGCTGAATCCCTGGCAGATAAATTGTAAACAAACTGCCAGTGATCCTGAGCAAGTCATTGACCAAGTATTTGATGAATAACATCACCTGTACCCCCAGGATGTTTTCAACAGCAGTGCCGAGGATCTGTAATTTATTGGTTGTAGTGCAGTAGGAAAACATTGCTGGATGGCGGGTTATCTTGGAGCTGGGTTGTCATGATTGCCAATGAATTTTACATCACTTGACAACATGATTGATGATGGATTTACATTGGGGGACATTGCTTACTTTTTCTAGGTTGTATTTTTATTAAAATACTTTTCATGATGGTGCGTTTTATTTACTTTAACTTTATTTTTTTTAAATGTGTGATAAAGAATGTGCCCCTGTACTCATTGTATGGGGAGGGGTAAATAAAAGTAACAATATCTTTTGCTTTAGAAATACATCGGCGGAGTGGGAACCACTTCCTTCTCTCACACCTTGTTACAAGATATTCAGGATCGGGGAAGAGAAGCTGTGACTGGACTCTGGGAATGTCTCTATGGACTGCAGAAATATCATCCTCATCCTAATTTATTGGCCATTCTGGGGGAAATCAGCCAGACAGGTAACAGGACCTTGTGTGAGCAAAAAAAAAATTGAAAGTAGAACTCAACTTTTTAGTCAATTTAGTTTAGAGATGGCAACAAAATGAATTGCCTCGATGTACCCTATCTGAAGGCACCCCTCCCTATGGATTTATGCCTGATACGCAAGTCGGCCAGAATTACCACAATGTGGGATTATTGTGAATCTCCAGAGAAATCAATTGAATATGTATACAGGCAGTCCCCGGGTTACATACAAGATAGGGACTGTAGGTTTGTACTTAAGTAGAATTTGTATGTAAGTGGGCATAGGTACATTTTTAAGTGTAACTCCAGCCAAAAATTTTTTTTTTTAGTTTTGGATAGCATAGGGAAGGGTCACGTTTGTTTTGCTGTCTGTTCCTGTTGTTCAGAAGATTATAATAATACAAAAAAAATATGTATTAAATGACGCACCCAAAACGTTTTTTTTCTATATTTTATTTTATAAACTTTATTTTTTTTATTTGTTTGCATTTTTATTTTTTATTTAACTTTTTTTACTTTAAAAAACAAACAAACATTTTGTCTTTTTAATTGTATTTTTTTATTTGAATGCTGGGAGCAATAGCCAGCCTGCTTTTGGATATTTCTAATTGCAATAGCCAATAGCAGGCTGGCTATTGCATCTGCCCACTGCCTGCTGTCAATCACAGAGGAGGGGCCTGAAGGAGAAAATGTTCTCTATCAGGTCCTCCCATGCTGATTGACAGTGGACAATAGCAGGCTGGGTATGTCTCCCAGCCTGCAGATGAAGAGGAGGCAGGGGGGCGTGGCAGAGGAGCCGCCGCCAAAGAGAAACCGACGGACCGGGGGGAAGGGGGAAGAGGAGGCCGGGACAGCAGCAGAGGTACGGGGGGCAGCGGAGGAATGCAGCGGTCTGTGTCCCCGCTGGCTCCGCCAACACAGTCGGGGAGAGCAGCGGGGATTTGAAAGGACACAGGCCGCTGCTGCCGGTACATTTAGGAGAACTGTGGACCCCCGGTTCGTAAGTACGGATTGTCCGTAAGTCGGACGTCCGTAAGTCGTGGACTGCCTGTATATATGAATTTGTGGCTATGTATTTCTATGGTGGCGTATCTAGGATAATGTGGGGGAACTTATGTTTTTATGATGCTAAAACGTTTTGATATCATGTAAGAATATGTACTGATACATTTCTTTTGATTTTTTTGATTTTGCAATGGCTATGGCACCTCATTAAACCCCAACTTCTTGTTTTCTTAGTTTAGAGATAAACTATTGTAAAAAAAAAGTATTTATGCCTAAATCACAACTGCAGGAAAACATCTGTTTGATAGAGTAGAAAGGCTAGTACCAGAAATTGGCAACCTTTTCAAGAATATGTTCGTTTGTTATAGTTTTGGAAGCCCTTCCAATTATGCCAAGCATCCTCTCTGACCCTGAAAACGGCTCTCCTGCCACCTAAAGCAGCCAATCAACAGGCAAGATTACAGGGACCAGAAACTTTTACCTCTTAGAGATCAGTGCTGTGTATTTTAGGGCAGGCAGATTGGCTCCCAGCTCAAGAAGAGGGAATAAGAAGGGATTAGTTAGTTTGACAGTTATCATTAATCTTTAGGGGATGAGGTATTGAAGGTTAAGTGTTAAAAGATCACTGTAAGGATTAGATCAAATGTTGGAATTAGAGTGAGAATTAAGTGCTGGGTTAGGTGTTAATTGTTTAGTAACAGTTAGAGGTTTAGTATTGTGGGATATTTAAATGTAATTTTTAGTGTTGGGTTAAGTGCTTAAGCAGGACTGAAGGTGATTGAGCCTTTTGCATTACGGACACTTTTAAATTTTGTGAAAATGTTGGAAGGCTGTGATTTTTAAATTGTTTCCAGTATAATATTTTCTACAATTTCCCAATAGTTCCCACCATCCCAAGGGTTCCCTCCGTCCCTGAGCTTCCTTGTGCTGAGTTCCCAGGTCTGTACAGCTTCTGTGCCCATTATGAGGGGTTCCCACCTTCCTTGTGCTGAGTTTCCAGGTCTGTACAGCTGCTGTGCCCATTATGAGGGCTTCCCTTCCCCCCTACATGAACTTTTTGCTTCAAATACTCGTAATGTGGTACAATGTTACAATGTAAATGTAATATTACTAAGGATGAACCAATACCAGTTTTTCAGTATTGAGTATGAGTACCGATATTTATCTTTCAGTACTCGCCAACACCAAATACCGATACTGGTGCTTCTGGTAGCATGGAGCCAGCTTCCCGCCACATGAAGAAGCCAGGCGGCAGGTCATCATCCACCGTCCGGCTTCTTGATGGACCAGGAAGCCAGCTCCATGCTGTTTGGCCAGCTCAATGCTGATTGGCCCGGGAAGCTGCTTTCCCTTCCAACCAGGAAGCTGGGAGACGGGTCATTACCTGACGCCTAGCTTCCTGATTGCCTGGGAAGCCATCTACATGCTGTTTGGCCGGCTCAATACTGATTGACCAGGAAGCCGGCTTCCCGATCAATCAGAAAGCCGGGAGGCAGCCTCATGGTGTTTGGATGGCTCAATGCTGATTGGTCGGAACCTGGCTTAAATAAGCATTGAGCCGGCTAAACAGCATGGAGCCAGCTTCCTGGCCAATCAAGAATCCGGGCGGCGGGTCATTAACCGCCACCTGGCTTCCTGATTGGCAGGGAAGCTGGCTCCATGTCCCCTTGCGGCACTACCAGTCAGAGGAAATCTCCCTCTCACTGGCAGTTCCAGTATTGGTGGTATGTATCTGAGCATTTGGGCAAGTATGAGTATGACGTATATATTTTATTTTCTAGGTGAGGGTCTTGTGGAGCAGATTCTGCTTGATGAACACGGACACACACTGACTCGGGAGCTGAGAGGTAAACCTAACACCAGATCACTAAGTTCTGTTTCTTTAGTACATCAAGTCACTGGGTTGGAGTAAGTCAGCACTGTTAAGATTTTTCTGATCTACATGTTTGTCCCAGATCAGTGACTCGAAAAGTATTAAAGATCATTAAGTGAAATGTTAGAATTACAGTTATGGTTTGGCTCTATAGATAGAGTGAGGCTCAATTTTCAAGTTACCTTTTTAAGAGTGAATTTAAGTTTATGTGCTTGTTTGATGGATGAGTGTAAGGGTTAGAGCAGGGGTCAAAATTTCAAGTCCTGAACTACTAGCCAGGCCTTAAGAGTTACTCGCCACCAGTTGCCCACCTAACCCCTACCCAGCCCCGGGCCTAACTCCGCCCCTAAATAATCCCCCCTGTTCCCTACACCCCAACACATAAAATAAGAAGCCCCCCACCATGTAAAGTAAAACAATGAAGCCCCCTCACCTGCTTGTCTTTCTGCAGGGAGGAGGCGAGCAGGCACGATCCCTGGTGATCTAGTGTGATTAGTAAGGTCTGCTGCCAAATGCGAGGAGGCGAGTGGAAATTTTGAGCCCTGGGTTAGAGGGTATCTAAATACAAGAACATAAACGTCATATATTGCAGATTACCAAGCCTTAGATGTGGTAGTTGTGTGTGTTTTTCCTTTTATTTGGGCTTAATACATTTATAGCAAACATACAAAATATCTTCCAATCCTGCCAGAAATGCTGTGGTTGTCACTTCCTGTGAACGGAACTAAACTGAAAGCACAAACAATGTTATTTTTATCTTGTAAACTATTAATTCCCCCCTCCATATCATGGAAATGAAGAAAATCAAACACATTTAAAGTTAAGCCTGTTTGATAACTATGGCTATAGCCTCCGTAACAGGAGTGTGGGAATGAGTGTAGCCACCCAGGTAAATCAAGTGTATTATTTGCAGGTTTAGTATGCGGAAAGAATGGAACAATTTAGACAACAGTAAACATTTACAGTGCATCTCTGTATAACATATACATTTTCCCAAGTTATTCTCTGCTGCACTACAGAACACCTCCCCTATGTAACATAAGATGGTGGTGTCCTGCAATCCAGCAGGGGGTGATTGGGCAGGGTTGAGCATTATTTTGCCAAAAAGATTCTCCCTGTCCTTTACCAGCACATGTTGGGAAATGTATGCCTGTGGCTGGATCATGCCATCTGTGGCAGGGTGCACATTGTCATGGACACCTAGACCAGCAGACATAGGTGGTAGAGCTCTTATTATTTCAGGGTGGCACATGGTGTCCTCAATGAGAAGCAGACCTGGCTCTTCAGAGACAATGTGGATGAATTGATTTTTATAAATATAAAAAAGTGCTGAATTCTTGAACATTTTGGAGGTTATTTTATTGTATCTGCTGAAGATCATCTAGAAAATTAATTAGTATTTCAAACTGGTGGGTCCTGGTTATCTACACAGGGCTCTGGTCGGTGTCATTTCTGTCTGCCTGTTGAAAATTAAGTAAAGAACATTTCATTTAAACCTTTGGTGATATATTTTAATAGAAGTTCTTATGGTGCCTGTGCCAGTGAGTCTTTCCTATGGCAAATGTTTATTCCTTCAGCCTGCTGCCAATAGTCTATATATGTGTTGCAAAGGAAACTGGTTCCTGGTCTACCTGCTGCTGGCCGTGTCAAGGTCTCTTCTGCTGCCGCTTGTCACCCAATTTTTACTTCGTTTCCACAAGGATTCTGAAGTGATGATGCCCCCTATCTCAAACAATGTGTCTGAAAGGGAGGGTGAAAAAATATCTTTTAATGACAAATTGCATCCATTGGAGTCCACTGAGTTCCAAAGCCAGAAGTGTTGTTCAGTAGTCTGTCACAGTGCTGTGAAGCTAGAAGCACACAATCTGTTATCAATAATGCCTTTAGTCTCCTTCAGTCAACCTTCCATCTCTTTGCTGCCAGTCTTTGGTGAGCCCATCTGGTCAGGTGTATATATAGGAGGGGAAAGGGAGCAGTGTAGCGTTTTCACCTCCAAAGCTTGTTCCCTCCACCATCATGGGATTCAAACTCCCCCACTTTTTCAATTGAAAATCTGTAAAAAAAAAAACAACTTAATATTGGGATCAGAGCCTATACTACTGGATAGCTGGAGAGCAACTAAGAATACATAATTATTGGTGAGCACCAAAGTCTGACTTATGAAAAAGTGTGCCATTATTAATACTAAGGATGCACTGATACCGATACCAGTATGGGTATCGGTGACAATACTTGGCATTTTCTTGAGTACTCGTACTTATAAAAATGCTTTAATACAAAAAATCAATTTCCAAATTGAGTCCTGTTTGCTGAGGACCTTGCAAAAGCCTTGTTAAGGGACCACACAGCATCTGTTTATAGCGCTTCCACCAGCCCACACATCCCCCTGCTGAGACTCTCAGTACCCCTCCTGAGACCCTCCACCCAAGACATCAGGCCAGCACTTTGGAGCAGAGTGGCAGCACAGTGTATATAGCAAATTCATATACTATTATTCTGCATTGCTGTATAATGTATTGCTGAGACTCTTGCTCTTCTGTAGCTGGTGGTATTGTGCATTGCTATACAATGTATTGCTGGGATTTGTAGAACCTCTACAGCTTGGAGACAGTGGCAGAACTACTAGTGGTTGCAGCTGGGACCAGGCCGTTATGTTCCACCACTGTCCTAAAATCATTAGTCTGTATTTAGAAAAACTGTCACATGATACTAAAAAAGGAATCGGTAATTGGCATCAGGGACTACTTGAGGAAAAGTATTGGTACTCGTACTCGGTCTGGAAAAAAATGGTATTAGTGTATCCCAAATTAATACCAATTACTTAGACACTGTAAATCAACTATGCAAGTAAAACATTCATCGTAAGCTATTCCTTTTGGACATATTCAGATTCATATCTGTGTGAGCTGGGATAAAGAGTTAAAAAAACAGAAATGTTCAGTGCTCTCAAGAAATAAAAATGAATGAATGAGGGGGGGGTTATTGTGGGAGGTGAACTAAATGGTATGCGGCTCTGAGAAAACAGGCAATGAGTAACTCTTCACACTACAAGTAAATAAAACGAGAGCACAATTTCCTGAATGATTGGATACGGAGTTGTATATATTAAAGAGACTCGCTGACTCTATTTAATGAGAAAAAGGACTACTTACATGATGCTCGTGGGGAATGAGCGTTGGGGCCTTGATGGAGGATAGGAGTGTCCAGTGTGGGCTATGTTGCTGCTTTATAAGCTATCAATAAAGTGCTGTATCTAACGGCCTTGGTATCCGTAACTGATTTTGTGTGGAGCGCACAGGGGATCGTGCCCCAGAGGTATGGTTAGTGAAGGAGGGCTGGTGGTGCAAAGAGAAGCCGCAAGTGCTCCCTATTGTGAGTGTCCCTGGTGTGTCAGTGATCGGATAGATCATGACAGGGACTAGGTGTGGTGGATGATACAGTGTCAGCACTGGGTTATAGCTGAGCGACTGCTGGTGACAGAGGAGCCATTCGGTACACTATCAGATCACCTATTCTGTGTTGACCCTGTGAGGGTGGGCAAAGTCATGCCGGTTCGACAGCGATCTGTTGGAATGTTCTGTCGTGATGACAGGTGTCGAAGAAATATGATAGTGAGAGTGGAGGGATGGAGGAACAACGTGTTTCGAGGCGGACCTCTTTCTCAAGCTCAAAACATGCAATGGGTAAGCATGTTGGATGGCAGGAAAATGTGTGGAACTTAAAAGGGGCAGGTGGGCAGAGCAATGGACAATTAACAGCTGAGCCGGGATGTCTGTTGGACATGTTTTAAATGAATCCCTGGGGCTAAGCCCTAATACAGGTGAAACTCGAATAATTAGAATATCGTGCAAAGTTCATTTATTTCACTAATGCAACTTAAAAGGTGAAACTAATATATGAGATAGACTCATTACATGCAAAGCAAGATAATTCAAGCCGTGATTTGTCATAATTGTGATGATTATGGCTTACAGCTCATGAAAACCCCAAGAACCCCAAATCCACAACCTCAAAAAAGTAGATTATTACATGCAATCAATAAAACAAGGATTGTACATAGAACAATATCGGACCTCTGAAAAGTACAAGCATGCATATGTACTCAGTACTTGGTTTGGGCCCCTTTTGCAGCACTTACTGCAATTACTTTTGCACGATATTCTAATTATTCAAGTTTCACCTGTAAAACATAGATCTGGGGGACTAATCAGAAGTAATGGATTGTGTGGGATAAACTAATGGATAGGACTGGAGGTTAAATAATTAAAATAAATGGTAATACCATACAAAAGGGATACATAAGAATAAACAAAAATGAAAAATAAAATTACTTGTTGAGAACATTGGAAATGAGGTATGGTAATATGTGTGATTTGTTTTGTTCCGAATTACAGCTAAAACGAATGCAAACGAATCCGAATTTCCGATTCCGAAATTAATTAGCGGTAGTCTGTATGAATTGTCGTTTCATTTTTGGCTTTGTTCATTCGTTGCAGCAAAGTGACATATGAGAATTTTTTTTTTTTTACAGTCTGCAGAAGAGGAAAAAAAAGCATGAGGTTCCCCCCCAATTGATAAAAAAACAACAAAAAAGTGTGTGGTTTCCATCTTGTACCACTACTCATTCACTAAAGGGTTCAAATTCAATGTAAGTAAACAAACAACACTTTTAGAAAAAATCCTTTAATTGAAAGAAAAACAGACTAAATGTTTGACTATTCCTTTAATAAAAAAAAATGGCTTCATTGATGTAATCGAGCGTCAATCACGATGATCACTGACCCGCCGAAATAAAAAAAAGACCCGCCGCACGACGACCATCCGAACCCAACGAAAACTCGCCGCAAAATGACATTCAGCTCGAAAGTAAACAGATGGGCGGAGCAAGCTGTGACGTCACGGCTCGCTCTGCCCATTTGACATTCTCAGCTGTCAAATACAACATAGCATTCGGGAGCTCCCAAATGCCATTCG